TCTGGATTTTTGTTTTAGATTCCATCACTCACAGTTGAAGAGTACCTATGATAAAAATTAGTCATCTACAAGCTTTGCAAGTGGGAAAAATTGAAAAATCAACAGTGTATCAAATACTTGTTCTCCCCACTGTATATACATTTTTTTTTCACCACTAAATATCCTTTGCATCATATAACACCTCATGTAGTAACAAAGCAGCTGAGAAACCCACAGAATAACTTACCTTCATAAAACTGAGTAACCAGAGATTATTCTACAGACAAAATCAACTGGACTCTGATAAAAGTTATAACATGTATGGAGCCTACGCCACCGGCTGCCCTGGTTGAGAAAGGATGGAGCCATTTTGAGCCTCTCACCTCCTACATCAATGTTTAGCTCTATGTCTGTAAAACTAAGTTAAATGCCTGTAGCTTGATGTTTGAGACCAAAATAAAACAGGAAGTGAAGGTGCCAAAAAAAAAACTAAAGTTAGAAACTTTAGGAGGAAATTCAAACAAGAACCCTGAACTGTGATGTTATTAACAAAGTGATCATTTTATCTCACTTGTTGAGGACAAATAATATCAACAACTGAATCTCATAGGGAGAAATCAAATACTTGGTGAAGCCCCACCCCCAAACAATTTTAAAATAAGTAATAAGTGACCACTTTCTTCACGCTTACGTTTCAGTTTCCAGTTCTGAGCAGATTAGAAATAGAATTATTCATGTCTACTTTGTCATTCCTAAGCCTTAGACGTGAGCTCCTTCTTTACTTCTGTCAAAAATCCACCCTTTTTGTTTCATTCTGGCCAAAAAGCAGGCAGCGGTCCAGTCTCAGGGCTCTTCGCAGCGCTGCAGGCGTCTTCTCTTGTTCTTCTGAGTGAAAATGAAGTAAAAGTGACAAACACAGGAGGGTGTCCAGGTATCTGCAGGAGGCCGCTGCTGCTGGTCCTTCTGATTATTTGTGGAGTTTTTCTCATTTTATTTTTTCAGAGCTTGCGTGCTGCTCTCTGAAAAACTTGTGTGTTATTTTAGGGAGGTGTGAGCAGAGCTGGAAGGGTCCTGGCAGGTGGGGCTGACACACCTCAGCACCAGTCCACCCCTGCAGCATTTTGACTTTATCTCCCTCGTGCATTCATGACCTCTTCCCCCGTCTTCATCCCTGTGTGTTACACAACCATGACTCATAAAGGCCACTCCTGAGTGTGTGTGTTTTCACTCTTATGGCTTTCCTAGTTGTGAACAGTTTGTGAAGATCTCCTGTGTGCATGACCCTCACAGGGCACTCCGCTGGGTGTCCAGAGGTAAAGAGTGACCCTGATGTGTCACTTCTGCTTAGACAAATGAATGGGAAGCCAGTGGACCACTGTGGCCCACACTCACACACGTGCAAAAAAAAAAATATCTTCAGGGCTCTGAAGTGATCACTACACTGAGTCAGAACTGACGTTTTTCCCTCATGGCACGTCTACAGGCTTCTATATTAGGGACTTTCTGGACACCGCTGCCACCAAGGCTGCCGGCTCTGCACCAGTGTCTGTCTCTCTGTGTTTGTGTTTGCAGTATGCACACATGCAAAGTGTTGTGGGATAAGTTGGAGCTGGAGTCTTTTCACAGTCCGAGTGTGTGGCGGAGCGTGGGTGGGTGTGCTTCTATGTTCGTTTCACAAAAGAGCAGAGAGAGAGAGGAGGGAGGAAAAAAAAGAACCTTTTTGGAAAAACGGCAACGTTACAGGAACTCTGCCAACACACACGTTCAGAAAGACTAAAAGAAAAAAGCACACACGTCGAGCTTTGTGTCTTCTAAATATTTAAAAATAAATGAGACAAAAGAATGGCCTTTTTAGAGAACAAAATGTGGAAATGAAAAACATCCCCTCAGCCAGTTTACAGCACTGAGTGAAAGCTTGAAGTCATTCCTTGTTTCTTTAAATCTTGCTTCTAATATTTCTGAATTTCAGAGTTTTTTATTCATTATGACAAAAACCCTAAAATAACTTTTCTAGTGATCTGGTCAAGAGGTCAGCACACATTTACGTGTGGGTCAGCCCACATAAATGGTTGAATGGCACAAAAATGATTACAAACTCTATCCTTCAGGCTTAAACAAAAGGCTCTAATGTGGTTTGACCAGTTATCAAAGTACTCTGAACTTTTCGCTGCTCCTTTTCAGAGCAATGTTCCTTTTATTTGAGCCCCTGAGCTCAGGGCTCCTCAACTTAAAGGCTGTGTGAGTCGAGCCATAATAAACTGAGCAAAGAATACAGTTTAAATTGAATATTGAGGCACTTTGTTCCCAGCAGCCTGTCACAAAGATCACAAAGACACAAATGAATTCCATTTCTCTTGTTGAATCGATGAAAATTATTTTTTAAAATGTGATGAGGAAGTTGGATTAGATATGTTATTCCAATCAGGTATCACATTAATTTCCTGCTCCAACCTTTTTCTTTTTCTTTCCTTAAAACCGCAGATTTAACGTTTAAAATGTGTGTGTAATAAGGTTGTGTGAACGTTGCACTGTAGCTGAACTGTGCAGCTCCTGAGGACTGAAAAAAAAGCTGTTTCAGCACCAACAAGGTGATTCTCAAACAGCTATAAACCTGACAGATGATGAATCTCTCAGGTCTCGTGCTTTTTTTAAATAATGGCATTTAAATATGATTAATCTGATATTAAAATAGAATTGTAAGCCACACACACCTATTCTTCTTCGTTTAATTGTGTATTATTTAAAGCAGCTCTCGTCAGGAACAATGTCTGAGCAAAATAAATACGTAAAATGTAAAAAAAGTAACCCAAGTCCTAAGAAAAAAAGCACTTTAAATGTTTACAGAAATGTGACTGATTAGATGCAAAAGATGAAGAAACTAGGACTGATCTGAAATGTTTTTACAGTACTGTGTAAATAAAAATGTCTTTATTTTACATAAAGGAGCATAGTAGAAGGAAACAGAGTCAGTGCTTTCTATAAGCAGAGTTGTTTATTTCAAATAATGAAGTCATTTATCCACTTAAACATGCTGTAAAACCACATTCTTCACGTTAACGTAGTTATAAATCCTTCTTGTAGAGAATCATGATAACTGAGGTTTAATCAACACTAATTGGCGGCGCAGAGCGTCCTCTGCAGTCAAAATAAATAAATTTGCACAGTGAAGTCAATCTACAGCAGGCAGCAACACAAGGAGCTGCTGACAGACTATAGCTTTTAAAACATTCCTATTTTTTTTAATCTATTAACATGCACCATTGTGTAGAACCCATGTTGTGTGAAGAAAACAACTTAATGACTGAACTGTTGGTGCTGCAGGCGGAACAGGAAGAAGTGATGACTCAGCGAGACTACTGATTAATAACAACAAACAAAACTTTTATTTTAAATAAGTAAACATGGTCTGAGTTTAACAGTTTCGAACAAATAATTAACAATAAATCACAAACCTCTTTTATGATTCAACATGAATTCTGCTAAAAAAGAAACAACATAAAAAAACACTTTACTCAAAGCTGTAACTTTTCAGACTGACTTCTCTTTGAAGCCAATCTCTCACACAGAGTAACTCACAGCTACACTGTTACAGTCCACACAAGCACAGATCTGTAAATCTGAAGCTTTTTCCCACAGATTGCCAGCAGATATTGACGTTTTGCTTCAGTCCTGGCCCAGATGAAGTCAGATCAGTCTCCCTCCCTTCATAAATGTTTCTGAGCTACACTTATTAAAGTGGTTTTTTAAAAAAAGAGTAAAAAATCAGCTAGAAATGTCTTCAAAACTTTACTTAAATAAAGTTTAAGGCACTCAGTGTTGGTGCCAAAAAATAATTTTAATCTTATGAGATCTGAACAGTTTTTGTACAAACGCTGAAGAAGTGAAGGTTTTTCTTTTTGACACCAGTGGAAACTGTGGGAGAAAAGATGCTTCACAACTAGCTGGAAACAGCTGAGAACTCCAGTGATTATTGTGTCCTTTTGTTTTTAATGCTGAAGATCCTTGCTCCATCCATCCATCCATCCATCCATCCATCCATCCATCCATCCATCCATCCATCCATCCATCCATCCATCCATCCATCCATCAGCGCATAAAGTGACACAGAAAGCAGTGTAGGTTTTCATTTGATCCTGTTCATTTACTTCTTGGTCCTTTTAAGGTGGAAAGAAAGAAAAAAAATCACAATCCACTGTCAAAAGAGGAGTCTGTGTTTCTCTGAGCGTCCGTCACGCTGATCTGCACCATCTCCGGAGGGATGAGGCTGATGGAACATTCCAGCCGGGCCCCTCCGTCCAACCTTTAAACCACAAACATCCACACAGAGTCTGAGCTTCATCGCCAACTCCTCTTGTCCATAAAAAACATCAAACTAAACTAATCTGAAGCTAAATCAAGTTTCACTAGTTAGTCTACTCTCATCCAGACCATGACGGTCTCGCCGCCATGGTCACCAGATACCACGGCTGCGATGATGAGAGGTGGACTCGATGAGCTGGAGTCAGGAGAGCAGATCAGTTTAAAGTCAGGGTGGAGCAAGAACGTTTTTATTTTCACCCACAATATGAGATAAACTGCCATGTTTCAAGTTTTTACAAACATTATACAGATTGTTTTCAACTCTAACTGAAGGAGCACTGCTCCATCTTACAGTCTTATGTCCCACCAAAAGTTGTTTTGATCTTGTTTTGAGACGGTTATACTAAGCAAGAGCAGAATGTGTTTGATTATTAATCTAGTTAGCCTGGAAATGTTTCTTTATTTGAAGAGTTTTTACCAAATGCACTTGTCTTATTCCATTAGCAGATTATTTCACCTAGTTAAAGAAGATTCAGACTATAATCTACTTTTTCATTTATTTTTACAAGGCTAACTTTTGCAGAAATTAGAATAGATGACAGCATGTAAATGTAGAACTTAATGTGAAAAATTACTGTTTTTAGAAAGTTTTACTGTGTGAATGTTTACAAAGCACTCATCTTGTTGCACAAGTTTTGTGCTATTTCAACAAATTATAAAACAAAACGTTCAGCTCCTTCAGGACATTCCAGCTATGACTTTTAGTGTTTCAGCAGTTTATACTTTTAGAGATATTTAGCTTTTTCTGACATTTGTTTTTATCACTGAAAATGAACAGAGCTGTCTTCAGTATTCTTCACTGTACTTTTTACCTTTCGTTCTGGTTCTGTTTTTTAACTTTTAGGCTAATATCAGATTTCATCGGCTTCTATTTAGTTAATTTTAGCTTTTATATCTACTTGTTTAGCTAACATTGACATTTTCTATAAACTTTTGTGCTTCTTTCAGTTTCTTTCTGCCATTTCAAGCTTGTTCTGCATTTTTTTTAGTTGCTTTCTGCTAATTTCAGCTGTTTTCTGTGTTTTTAGAGACTTTTCAACAAATTTCAGCTAATTTGAGCAAACATGCTTTTTCTGTTTCTTTGTGCTACATTCAGCTACATTTTTTAGTTACAGTGGTTTGCAAAAGTATTCATACCCCTTGAACTTTTCCATATTTTGTCACATTACAACCACAAACATAAATATATTTCACTGGAATTTAATGTGAAAGACCAACACAAAGTGGTATACAATTGTGAAGTGGAAGCAAAATTTTACATGAATCAAAACATTTTTTACAAATAAAAAACTGAAAAGTGCGACGTGCAAAAGTATTCAGCCCCCTTTTCCCTGAGTGCAACCAATTGCATTCAGAAGTTGCCTGATGACTGCTAATGACTCAAAAGGGTCCACCTGTGTGTAATCTAATCTCAGTACAAATACAGCTGCTCCGTGACGGCCTCAGATGTTGGTTAAGAGAATATTGGGGAGCAAACAGCATCATGAAGTCCAAAGAACACACCAGACAGGTTAGGAATATGGTTTTGGAGAAGTTTAAAGCAGGCTTAGGTTATAAAAAGATTTCCCAAGCTTTGAACATCTCACGGAGCACTGTTCAATCCATCATCCGGAAATGGAAAGAGTATGGCACCACAGTAAACCTGCCAAGACAAGGCCGTCCACCTAAACTTACAGGCCGAACAAGGAGATCACTGATCAGAGAGGCAGCCAAGAGGCCCATGGTGACTCTGGATGAAATGCAGAGAGCCACAGCTCAGGTGGGGGAAACTGTCCACAGGACAACAATTAGTCGTGCACTACACAAATGTGGTCTTTATGGAAGAGTGGCAAGGAGAAAGCCATTGTTAAAAGAAAACCATAAGAAGTCCCGTTTGCAGTTTGCCAGAAGCCATGTTGAGGACACAGCAAACATGTGGAAGAAGGTGCTTTGGTCAGACGAGACCAAAATTGAACTTTTTGGCCACAATGCAAAACGCTATGTGTGGCGGAGAAAGAACACTGCACATCACTCTGAAAACACCATCCCCACTGTCAAATATGGTGGTGGCAGCATCATGCTCTGGGGGTGCTTCTCTTCAGCAGGGACCGGGAAGTTGGTCAAAGTTGATGGGAAGATGGATGGAGCCAAATACAGGGCAATCTTGGAAGAAAACCTGTTGGAGTCAGCAAAAGATTTGAGACTGGGGCGGAGGTTCACCTTCCAGCAGGACAACGACCCTAAACATAAAGCCAAAGCTACAATGGAGTGGTTTAAAAAAAAGAATATTCATGTGTTAGAATGGCCCAGTCAAAGTCCAGACCTAAACCCAATTGAGAATTTGTGGCAAGATCTCAAAACTGCTGTTCACAAACGCTCTCCATCCAATCTGACTGAGCTTGAGCTGTTTTGCAAGGAGGAATGGGCAAGAATTGCAGTCACTAGATGTGCAAAGCTGGTGGAGACATACCCTAAAAGACTTGCAGCTGTAATTGCAGCAAAAGGTGGCTCCACAAAGTATTGACTCAGGGGGGCTGAATACTTGTGCACATCGCACTTTTCAGTTTTTTATTTGTAAAAAATGTTTTGATTCATGTAAAATTTTGCTTCCACTTCACAATTGTATACCACTTTGTGTTGGTCTTTCACATTAAATTCCAGTGAAATATATTTATGTTTGTGGTTGTAATGTGACAAAATATGGAAAAGTTCAAGGGGTATGAATACTTTTGCAAACCACTGTATTTTAGGCTAGTTTTAGCCTTTTTTGGCTATTTCAAAAGAAATTGCAATTACTAATTTTCTTGTTTTCTGCTCATTTAAAAATTCTCATGTAAATTAATTTTAATTAATTAAAGTTAATTTTAACTTGTTTCATCTACTTTTAGCATCTTTCTGCTCATTTTAGCTACTTTTTTTGCCCTTTGCCCTTGTTTTGCAATGTTTCTACTGATTGTTCGCTTTTGTTGTCCTACTTAGCTGTTTAAATTGAACTTGCATTAGCAGTTTTGCTATTAAACCTTTCAGGTTCTTCAGCAGCTTTCAACACAAACATTTCAGCATTAAGCATTCACACTGCATTTAGGCAGGAAATGCAATTTCTCTAATAACCAATGTTATCAATTTATCGTTTATTGGTGGAACTAAAAGCAGAATGAACAATTCTTACCTTGTTGTTGCTGTGAGTTTTATCGCACATCTCTAAAGAGCTGAAACAAAAGATACAGAGTTTGGAAATAAGAGCAGATATATTTAATTTGAGACTGGTAGGTTTTAATGGGAAGTGAATAAAGTGAATGGACTGAGGATGTCAGCCACACAACTACACACACACCATCACCACTTTCTTTTCTTACACTCCTCACCCAAAATAAAAAAAACCCTCATCCATTCAGTTCATGCAGCAGCCCTGAATCAATAGAAGAAAACCTGGAAAGTAACAACAAACAGTAAAAGTTCCAGCAGGCGGATGTATGTGCCTCTGCTCTCTGCAGCAAACTAATGAGCAGTGTGTTGAAGCTGGAACAGCAGGAGGAGACAGCAGCACCCTCCGATTCTGAACAACTGTGTGTCAGTCTGAACACGGAGCAGAGAAGATGTGGTTGGCTGCACTGAAATGTTTTTTTTTTCTTTTTGTGGTGAGAGAACAGATGGAGAGAAGGTGATACTGATGCTGCTGAACAGGTCTGATTCACTGTCAGTGTGCTCGAGATCGAGCCAAACAGACCCACGGCGGCGGCGTTTTTCAAACTCATTCAAGTTGAAATCTCTGCGAGCAGATGCAGCATCCGTGCTGTGGAGCAGCGTTAACCAAAGTTTGCCTGTGGGCACAAATTCACATTCAAAAAGGTGCAACTCGTTTCTGTTTCTTTCAGCTCTGGCAGATCTGTACGAGAATTAGTCCCTTTGTAGTTTTATTTTCCTGGCCTGCGATATGAAGATGCTGCTGTCTTCTCTCTCCTCTGGGTTCTTAAAACCGTTTCAAGTCTGGACTTATGACAGACAAATACATTTATTGTATATATGTATTTGAAACAAATGGTTTAAAGAAGCCAGATCCATCCTGTCGTGATGAGAAATCACTGTTAAGTCACAGGTCAGAGTATTCATCCTGCTCCGGTGTCAGACACAACCCCAACTCACAAATACTCATGTTTAACTTTTTTTTCCCAGAAATCAGACCTTTGAATGGCATAGGATACAACTACATGGAGGTTGTGGACCACCAGTTCAGCATGAATGTCTCTGATTAGTCCCCAGTTGATTGACAGATTGACTCACAGCAAGTGGGTCTTGGCTGAAAGCTGCTACGCTGTTCCGCATCTCATTCTCACTGCCGCGCAGCGGTATCAGTGACATGTTACCGTGACTGGTATCTGGCAGCGTGCGGCACGCCCGGGTCCGCTGGAATCCGTCCTGGGGCCAAACGTTGCCACTGTACTGTAACAGGGAAGGGGCGGGGACAAATAAAGACATGGAAGCCGGCATAAATAAGAGACATCATGATGCTGACACAGCTCGACACAAAGGCAAAAATCATGCGTCGCGCTCGTTTAACCGTCCTGCTGAGGGACACGTCATTCAGCGGTGATCACAATCAGCGATGTTACATTTTGCACCAGAGACTACTCACTGCAGTAACAGATCCATGAATTTCAAATTGGTGCAGATATATATTTTTAAAGCCGTGTGTGTGTGTGTGTGTGAGAGAGAACACGCACCTGAATACTAAGAAGCGTGGCGCACCACTCCCTCATTTCTGCCTGGGTCTCACAGCAGAGATACCTGCAAACAAATGGATGGTGATAACATGAGCCACGCTGAGCAGCAGCATCGGGAGACGGGGAGCGAGGCTGATAAGCTTCCTGAGACGGAGAACAGTTGGGTTAGAACAAGAAGACAGAGATGGAATCAGAGATATTAGGAGAAACTGTCATGCTTTATTCCTATGGCGCCCCGATGGCGCCGCCGCCGCAGTAAACACGGGGTGTGATGGTTAATTTAAAATAAAAATTATTGATTAGAACTTTTGACTCTGTCTGCCCGTGTTCATGAAGTGTTTGTGTCTCTGATGATTTAATGTGAGCATATTCTATGCCACTCGGGTCTCCATCACATAAGCCCCACCGTGAGTCGTCAGCCACGCTGTGACGCTGAATAAACAGCCTTCATTTATACACTCATTACTGTTCCCAGCTCTGCCTGTGACCAGTTTGCATCATCGCGCCTAACAAAGCTCATTAGTGCTCGCTGTGACTCAAAAGAACAACATGTAATTGTACTGTCTCCCACTTTGTTGACCCTTTTTTTTTGGATACAAACTAATCTAATCTACAACATTCATTAATAAATAAATAAAAAACTGCTCCATTGTTATTTAAACAAAACGTCCAGAAGCAAAAGTTCTGTTCTGTTCTGAAAGTGTGTTAGTGTATGAAGAAGCTGAAGTCAAACTACTGCAAGAATATTTGTGAGAAAATAGTGCAATAAAAAGAGAAATTTAAAGATGTATAAAACTTAAGGCAACTGAGGCAATAAAAGTAAAAAATGTAGCAACATTAAGAAAAATGAGCTCAGCAGCTGCTTCTAAGCTCTGCTTTTCTTTAACCGGCACTAAAATCAAAACGTCTCCAACTCCGATTAGAGTTTCTCCCATTTCTGCCCTTTTATTCGTTACTTTCTTCCCCTCAGTTCTTTAAACTTCTCACACTTTCCCTCTCTTTCGCTCTCCCTCTTGTTATAAGGTGAGTTTCTAGATACAGAAAAAAAAAACGTAACAATGGAGCAGAACTAAATGATAATTTGGCCTACAGCGTGACGGGGACACTCATTACGTCTGGGAAGATGTTCACTGCTGTTGACAAGATAGGGCTCAGTGTGACACACACACACACACACACACACACACACACACAC